GTCTATCATAAACGAGACTCGATTCCACTCACACACATGTACAAAAAGATCATGTATAAATAAAGATCACTTTGTCTATCACGTCTACGTGTATTACATAAATAAACTCTAAAATTAGAGATCCCTATCACAAACAAGCGTAGGTTTGATGTAATACTAATAACTTACACAATTTATTGTAACATAAGCCCGGAAACACAAGCATTAAAATGCATTAAAAACAAACCAATATGAACGTTGAAATTGAAATATTTAATTTTAGGACGCTAAAGCCAGTTTACGCGGCTTAAATCTGCGATAGTGCTAACTAAAAGTACTCATTAAAAATTAATTTGCAACTAAATATATTTTATCGTGCTGTTAAATTATTCAAATAATTGTCGCTATTCATATATTTTGCGTTGTCACGTTCATTTCTACTTAACCAGTCCCACAGCTGGGCGTTCATAGGTATTCTAATCTTGTATGTTACAAGCGGCCCGCTCCGGCTTCGCTCGGGTGCAAAACTGTAAACGTTGTATATAAAACCTCTTGAATCACTCTATGTATTAAAACAACAGCATCGAAATCCGTTCCATAGTTTTAAAGATTTAAGTCCACATAGGGATAGAAAAAGCGACTTTGTTTTATACAATGTAGTGATGTGTTCCTTTTAGATAATGTATTTTAAATATTCAGCCTATTAAACTTTTTGGTTGGAGTTTGGTGGGAGGGGTTGTGAATGGGTGGGAGCATGAGGGGATGTCATTGAAGGCAGGGTACGATTCCTCATAGATTTTTTATGAATTTTTGAAAAATTTAAGGTATGGACTATATTTGCGTTATTGTACAGATTTAAGAAATATAAGTAAGGAAGTAAATAAATATCCATAGTCAAAAGATGTCGACAGCGTATCTCACCTACCCCATCACGTAGCCCATGGTTGTCTGTCCTTGTCTATAGTTAAAAAAAGTTTATTTATTATCTCCATAATTACTTCAAATAATAGTCTTATAGGGAAATGAGTTAACGGTTTGAAACGTAAATACACGTGAGTAGTACGTAAGCGATTCGATGGTCTATACAACATGTAAAACATTTTCTATTCCGACAAGTGGTTCCTGAGACTGGCGCGTTCAAACATTGAAACTAAAATATTCACCTTTATAATATTAGTATAGATTAGCTACTAGCTTTCTCTTGATCTTGTCAGAGTCAACCCAAACTTATGCAAAAGGCATTTAACCCGTTTCCCCCCATTTGAATTCCGCTTTGTATTCCCTTTGATAATATGAAGCCGTTCAAATTTGTGCACTGTATTAATTTAATGAATCATAAAGTGTCCGTTAGGCTTTTGTTTCCTATAAACGCTTAAGCGCTTAATGGGTTTATATTATAAAGAAGTTCTATTGTTGTCTCTCTCACACACTGATATTTTATTAAAAACTTTTACGTATTACATCTCTATTTATTTCTTATCATTATAACGTTTAATAGGCAGGAATAGTGTGGCGTTATGGGGCCCTTCTGATTCTTCTGTAATTAGACAGTATAATACTTTGCTAGTGTATTTTTAAAAGATTGAAAACAGCTAAGATAAAAAATTATTAAACAACTGAAAAAAAAACATCACCTCGTTCTTGTCTAAAAGTTTTAAAATATTAAGTACTCAATTAATTTTAGTGCCCCATCGACTAGCTTGAAGAGTTGGACGTATCCGTACCCGAGTGAAGGGAATAAGATGGTGAAGGCAGTTTCGCGCACGATCACTAGACTATAGCACGCTATATGTGACCTGCGTTCTTTATAGGAGACCACGAGCCTTAGAGAATGTTTCAGAAGCACGTAGCGAATTTGTAAACGATTTGAAACGATCCTGACCCGGTTACGTTATATTGCGGGAGCGGTAATAATTTCTTTAAACTCATTGTCATAATTTTACACCGAAATGAAGGCCGTAAATTATTGCCGAGTTTTGTGGGTTCATAAGAATGTGAAAATAACGTTTCCCTTTACGACGGTGCCTGATTTATTGTTTGGTATTTAATTAAGACCCTGTTGGGTCTCCGGTCGTCTAGTGGGTCAAAGCCCAGCATTGCGTTATTCACGAGAGGTCTTGTTTTGAATCCCGGGAAAACAATATCGAATATATAATAGCGTCGATCGGGCTAAGGAGAGAAATCTGAATAGCTACTTCTTTGTCAATGAAACTTAACCTGGCATAGAAATATTTTCGTTTTTTGTCTTAAGTAGGGGGATTTGATCTCAGTCTTCTTGATGTTTGCCCATAGTTTTATTTTAATTGTTCGGAGCGCTAAAGAGAGAACATACCGAGTTACATAATATGTGAAAAATTCGATGACACGCGCGGGACTTGAACCAATTAGTTTTTACAATTTAAATAGATTTCAATGTATATGACGTCGTCATGTAAATATAATAAGAATCCAAATTTCGGGCCGTAGTTGTAATAAATTTTAAATGAGTTAACTAATACATTTTATATCTTAAACTGTTTAAAGTGTATTATTAAAATTATAAATGATGAAAAATCGACTAGAAATTAAAAAAAATACGACTCGGGTAAAATGTGAACCGGCATCCACAGCGTTCTGTGCTTTTACTTTAACCAATTAAGCTACACGTCGATTTTTTTTAATCTATTGATACATGTACGTCTCGCGCAATGTAATGATTCAACATTTTATATATTTACCCTACCCCACACGACTCTTCCATCTCTATTCATCTCTAGTGGAACGTATCAAAGTCCTTTTCAAAGAGATATTTAAAAGGGACAGAATACTTTCATCCCGAAAAATAATCCAATTTTCCGCTAGAACAACTTATAATGTATTTCCCTCTACAAAGTACTGAACTTTTAACCTTAGTAAAGACGTTGTTTAAGGTGTACCGCGCACCTAATGCATTTCCATTATGCAAGTAAATTTGTTCAGGATTTTTACGTGTCCCACAGTTTTACGGTACAAAGTATTTTGAACGTATAAAAAGCTATCCGTCGACGGACTCCGTCTGGAAATCTGGATATTAAATGGGAGGTAGAAACTTCGAAATTCCTCCCGAGTCACGAACTACCGTCCACAAATGAAAAATTCGTGAAATATTTATCACTGTGTATTTCCGAATATCCAAAACCAAAATAGCTAGCTTACTAGTTAAGATGTTATATGGCTACCTCCCATCAAGTGAACCAAAGCTTGTCTACCCTCATATCATAAAAAAAAAAACTAACAAGTAACAGCGCGGGGCGCCTCTACTAGTTTACTAAAAGGTTATCCACAGTACCTAGGTCACCTATAACCCTTGTCATAGAGGAAACATTGTAGCGCGTCGTATATTAAATTTTTCACGATCATTTTTATAACATCGCACGTATTGGAATGTTTAATATAAACGTACTTAGTGGGTCATAAATTTAAAACGCAGATTACATTGTATCTTTTTGTTTTAGGATGATCTGCGTCGACATTATTGCTACGGACATCTGGAACAAATATTCTGAAAGCTCTAGCCATAAAAATGGGTAGGTACCCTTATGGGGGGTATTGAGTTTCAAGTGGGGTACTGGTATTGAATAGTTTCTTTCCGTTAACAAAAAGAGTGTGAGAATGAGACCATTTCTCAATTCCAAGAGACGACAATTTTGAAACCGAAAGCTTTGTGTATATAATATAAGTTACGCTTAAAACGTCATTTAACTCATTATATTGCATAATGTTTAAGATGGTAATACGTACGGTAATAAGTCTAATGAAGAAATTTGTGAATTATTTCATGACTTGAAACAATGCGTCGTCCATAATCAAGATCAAGAATAGTACAATAGTACTAAAGGCCGAATTAAATATTTAAGAGGGGCCTCTATGCGACAATTTTTGGTCGACATCAATGAATTATAAAAGGTGAGCACTTGGAATAGAGGAAAAAGGTTACAACAGAAACTTCCTTCTTTCCTTCAAACGACAATACTGGTTGTATGATGTAGAATGTTTTTTAGCGCAAGCCGTTCTAGACAGTCTCTTAGATAGTTAGTTAATTGCAAAATCTCTAAAACGGAAATTGACTTCCAGAATACCCGTCAACTTCCCTTCCAGCTACTTAATCAAAGTTATCAATTGCTAATATTGAACTTTCCTAACTTGTAAGGAATAGCTTCATTATGCCTTGACGTCGACGACATCTACTAATTACTTTGCGATTCGATAACAATTGTCCTTTGAAAAGTTCTTCAAATTAGAAATTTATATGAGGCTGCTAGAGCCAGAGTAGCCTAACTGTAACTTTATTACTTGTTTCATTTATAGGTTTATAGTCCAAAATGGTAAAAATCTAGAAGAGCACAGTGACCGAAATTTTTTAACATAATTCTTACACAAATAATAGTGCAAATCCATTTTCGCCTAAGTTAATTGCGCATTATTATTTTCCTCTTTATTGAAAATCATATTTTGTGTTATTAGGCCACTTTGCCTCTACCAGCTTCAAACCTGATATGTTAGTTTGTGTATGCTTCAATAACTCAAAAAAAATCGGCACCGATATAGATGAAATTTTAACATGATATAAAATCCATATCGAGGATGTTTATTTATAAATTTTTGGCATTAGAGATCACAAAAAACTGTTTTAAATTTTCTTAATGACTACGTCCTAACTATTGCAGTTGTCAGCTAGGGTTTTCTTCGTGTCTGGAAGATGGTACGGTCACTAGTTGCTTTTCACACGACAACGTATCTATCATTTGGTTCATACTCAAATGGCGTTTCTTTTTGTCAAAAAAAGTACTAGTCTAGTAAGATTTCTTTACAAATTATATTAATTAACTAATTAATACATATGGTTCGACATTCTATCTCCTTTACAAGAAACTTGGTATGGTGTGGTATTTACGTAATCAAAAAATAAAACTACCTACTTATTTAAGTAAAACATTTTTTATTTGTATAATAACAAATATATAAACTTCACTTAGCCAGCAAAAATATAAGCCCCAAGCTTTTTATGATACGTTACACATATCGGCATAATTACATTTGTGTATAGAATTATAAAAATATTCTTCTAAGTGTTTCAGTGGGCAAAGCTCCGTTTCGCACATGGGCAGTTTTATGATTCTCTCTTGATGCATTGTCAGTAGTTTGACGCCATCTTTACACCTGAGAATACATTTCATAATATGTATATGGTTGTTTTGGTGTGGCGCCTTCCACACAATTATTTATTAAAATATATATTTATTTCGACATATTTATTTATAATAAATATATATTTTAATAAATAAATGTGTGGAAGGCGCCACATGTATATAGATTTGTTAGCCATTCGAAAGCAAAAACTAGGGAAAAACATTGATTGATAAAAAAATCAGATGATTTGGCTTTCTTTGTGAAGTTAAGTCCAAGAATAAAGTAACTAGGTTTTTTAAGACAAAAGAACTACCTACCATTTGAACCTGGGACATCGTCTGCAGTGAGATAGAGTTGGAAGGAAGGAACTTTTCAAAAACTACCCGCAGAAAATGTCTCAAAGATGGAAAGTTCGAAAAAAAGTAAAAATATTTTTGGTCATGTGAAAGCCTACTAATGTGTACGTCTATTTCCCACATGCAAAGAGTGTTTCCTAGCAAATGGCGTAATTTGCAGTTATACAAAAAAACATGTACCAACCTGTATAAAACGAAGGCTAAGTTAGAAGCAAAGCAATCAATATTTGAGGTCTTCCAGGTCCTTTGTTCATCTATTGCGTCACCACGCAGGTGAGACTTCGGCTTATACAGCTGTAAATGGGCTAAAAGCTTCAAAAGCGTCCCAGAGTGCGCAAATAGAAAGGTCGCATTTCGACTTTCATTCCTGTAAAAAAGGGTAAGAATGTTTTGGGTAGAAGATTCACGTCTGATCAGCTTGCTTGTAAGTACATCCCATCAATACGTTGGAAACTGACACATTAACACCCCGTGCCCTACAGGGCGTTGGATTTTTTTAACCACATATGGTGGTAATACAGAGGAGGACAGACAAGGCAAGGTGGAGACGAGGTTCTCTTGATGGGGGTGAAATATCAAATTTAAACAAGATGTGCTATGGTCTATTTTTTTTAAAAACATTAACAAACTTACAAAGTTTACAAAGCTTTATTTAAATTAGAATCTATATGTTAGACCCGTCGGGAATGGAACCCACGGTTTTTTTTTATTCATTCAAAATTTTACATTTATATGTACAAAATAAAAAACATTCAAAAAAACTCATTCAATTGAACCGGAATATATTGCTATCGCTGGACCATTTTGATTTAGATGTACCTCATGGTAGAAAACAAATGCTTCATCATCATGCAAGCTGGACGCGCTGTCAACTCGTGACCGTATCCATCATTCCAGTAGTGTTTCAAGTCATAATAATATTCTAGCCTCTAAAAAAAACATAAAATACCAAAGTTACTTAGTGTAGAATAGCAGTGTAAAAAATATATAACAAATAGTGTATAATGCAATAATACACTCTTTGTAAGATACAATATTTTAACTTGACTATTTAATTTTTTCACAGACTAAAAAATGTTTATGAGTTAAGGAGAAAGATTAAATTCACCTGTACACCCTTGCTATCGAAGGCGAAACACCACGGAGATACAAAATGTTTGTGCCAAGAAGTTTCATATCCACATATTTTGTACATCAACGAAACAATTTCTATAAAGTAATATAAATTCTCTTTTACTGTGTTTAAGTAACAAGTAAACATAAATTAATTTGGTGTAGTAAAATTAATTAGATAAGCATGTATTGTATAGAGCTGCTTTTACCAAAAGACAATAATTCACTTTAACTATTGATTCTTATAATGAAAATAAAAGAAACACTTTATTGAGTATAGTGATATATCCGCATATGTAGAAGCGGTAATTGTTGCAGTTAATTTTGGCCAAACTCTAGACTTCTGAACAAACATTAGCAATTTTAATACCTTGTCCTTTTATACTAGATTTGTCATCTTTTAATTATTTTTTTTATGGAAAAGCAGAGGGAGTAGTAGTAAGACTTTTTTTTTGTTAGGGGCAGACTTTTACAATTCTTTTGTAAATCTATCAAAAAAATTAATGTTTTTGAAAACATTAATATTTTTCACATGTTATTGCACATGAAGGCACTATATAATTTAAAAATCGAAATAAATTAAAAAAAAAAATTTTTTTTCCTGCCTGTCCTGCCCGAGTCGAAAATTTTTTCAATTTATTTTCGATTTAAAAAAAAAAATTAATGCTTCAATATGAATTTTATAAAGCTAAAATACACGCTCAGCATAAATATCTACCATACATCCAATGCAGCAAATAACCAAGCAAGTGCTAACTATGGATGCTTTTAGTGGTTACAAACCCAGGTCCAATACTCTATCGAGACCCAAATATTTAGACACATATCCCAATGTTTCATTCATCTCTCCACTGACCCCATATCTCCTTTGCTCTGCTAATGTTTTAGGGTTCTTCTTAACTTCTTTTCTCCACCTTTCACAGTGTTTGTAAAACTGCAAAGTTCATATAATTATTTTACATGCATAAGTGCCATAAATTAAATATAAGATAATACATACTCGTAAAGTATTATCCACTTTCAGAGCTGGTTCAAAGACAACATCGTGAGCACTTTTCTTGTCAAACAATCCAATTGAGAAATATCTCGCGCTTTGTTGTGTTCTCTGAGTTGCTGTGTATCGGAACTGCAATAGAAAGCTTGATAGAGAATATATATTAATTAAAATATCTATATCTATAGGTATCATTAACTTCATGAATATCACGTTGATTCACACATACAAAAAAGGAATGAACATCTAGAAACAACATATCCTTCATCAAGGGAACCCCAATCCTGTAAGTCCTCTATTATTAAAAAACACAAACATTTTATGTTTTCACATTATAACTGCCTGACTTAATAATACTTATTAATAGTAAGCTGTAGGTGTATGTATTAAATACACTACCAATGTAAGTTAGTAAAAACTTTCATTGTTAAAATTACCTGAAAAGAATTATTGTCATATTTCTGTTTTATAATACTGGAGAATCTTTTGTGTGTCCTCTCAGCCAGTAAAACCATTTCATCTTGCCCTTCTAAGGTCAAGTATTTCTCCTCCTCCACAGGCATATCATTAACCCAATGTTCCAAGTTTTTTAATTGTTCCTTATTTAACAGTCCTTGAAAGTAAATATGATGAAAAATGATACAAAATATATACAGGCATATTCTAACAAAAACAAAAAGTGTTTTTCTGGAATTCGGTCACTAAATCTTTACACTACAATCTTGACTTCTTCAAATCTGGAGTCTTAAAGAAATACCTTTTCCCATTTTATGCTGCAAAAGAATTTCATACTTCAAGTTTTGAAGGACTGTTTGTGCTCCCACAATATCTTTAGCACTGGGTAAACGGGAACCATGTCTTATTAACATCCAAATCTTTTCACCCTTACAATCTGGAGATTTAACAACTTATTATAAACTAACCAGGTACCAGGTTTGGTATACAATTACATAAGAGTATTAACTGAAAATCTTACGAGGAATTTTTATCTTGGAATCATTCTTATTGTACTTTATTCTGTATGGCGTACGAGTCCCTAAGTAGTGTCGTATATCATTGGAATTTAAAGCGTTACAATATATTGTTAATAAAAATATTGTTATTGTGTATAAGAATAATTTTTGCTTATTAATCATGTTGCATGCACTAATATGATTGGAAAGGCATGGTCCCGTGATTTTATTGAAGTTATTCAGGATTTTTTCTTAATAATTAAAATGGATTTTATAATTTTTCAGGTACTTTTAATATATTACAACATAATAATTTTGTCAAAACATAAACAACCTAAAATTCTAATGGTCGTGGCTAACTGTCAATGTCAATCTTTACAGTTTACACACAGATACTCCCAAATTGTGTTTTACATATTAAATAATACTCGTGATCTATATATATACGTGCAGATAGCTAAATAAATACTTCTATTCTTAAAGAATTCAATCTTAATTAACAATACCGTCTTTGTCACTGATTTAATTAAATGTACGTGGAAAAATAAAAAATAATTCAATAAATGCTAATTACTTGTGAAATCCCAATAAGAGGCACCTTTACTCTTACCTATATAGTATTATTTGTTTAATTAATAAATACGACGTAGACTTTCTAAATTTATTCGTATTATCTCTGTATTTGCTCTCCCAGTGAGATAATTTGTAGCCCTCCTGGGGTGTTGTACTTCGTTACATTTGCCAACTCTGCGTAGGTAAGGACGTTACCGTATTAAATATACTTTTATGAATAGATTATGGGCGTATTATTGGAAATAACTTAAATAATGTATTGAAATATATTAAATAACACAGAATGTTTACATTTAAGTCAATTGTAAAAATAGATGTAAAATAAAACACAGCGCATGCTTAATACATTACGAATATAATATTATAAAATATTTTCAGCCTATAGAACATAATCTTAGGTTACCTACCAATATTTACATAAACCGAAGGCGGAATGGCCACTGTGTGGCGTTCAGTCGTCGTGGAGGCGTTCAGGCGCGGGGTAGCCCCTCGCGGATATAGGGTCCGGCGCGGGGGACGCATGCGGGGCGGGAGACGCGGCTGGGGAGGCAGCTGGAGATGCACTTCCCAGAGGCGAGGGTATCGTGGCGTACACCGTCGGACGTGGAGGCTGGTACGACGGCGCATATGAATCACTGCGAGGGTTGTAGAACGGAGAATCATCAGCGCTGCAATCCAAGTTTGGAGAGTACGGCGTCACCGCGCCGCAGGATGGGGCGTCATCGCTCGGACGGTAGGCGGGCGCCACTGGGGCGTAGACCGTCCTCCGCGGAGGTTCCGCTTCCGGTTTGTGGTGGGATGAAGGCGCGTACGCGTCTGACCATCGCGCCTTGCTGGGTGTAAAGTCCCCTTTCACATACAACTGGATAGGACGCGTGAAACCCTTGCTGGCGTGCTGCGGCACTCCTAGTATGCAGCACTTGCTGAACCCGACCTCGGGTGACAGCAAATACTCTCGAAACTTATTTGGGAACAGCTCTATTGAGTTGAAGTTTTCGTATATTGTTGGCTGAAACAAAATAACATAGATTATTATAAAAAAACTCTCTTAAGTCATTGTATTCTTTATGGCATTCACAAAATGTTCTCAAACTGTCAAAAAGTCGAAATAAAACGAAAATTAATCTTTATTTGTGAAACAAAATATTGATGGACACATCAGAATTGAACTATGTTTAGTAATGTTATTAACAAGTACAAACCAATGAGTATTTTATGGTAAGTTTATTTGTGGATTAGTTATAAATTATAGCATGAGATTTCTGCATTTTGCAAAACAGTTTGAGTCCTAATCCTGGACGTTTCGCCACTCCTAAGAATGACATCATAAGATTCTCAAAGCTCAAGTAGCTTTGTTTTGAGTTTACAATGACCGATAAAATAATATAAGAAATAGTGAAGCTATTACCGTTAGCCGCTTCCTCTTCTTATAACTGGCCCAATTTTGCGCTTCTAGTACCAATTTCCCACCAGGACGTAAATCATTAAACATCCTTTTGAACGCTCGTTTAATCCCCGCATCACCCCAATTCAAGTGCAACCATTTTGTTGTAGATAGGCACAGGATTAGGTCAAATTGAGGCGACTCCATCCCTGAACCGACAGCAACTTCCTCTCGGGGCACATAATTTCCCTGGAAATAGAATTATATAATTTCTTTGTCTAATTTCTCAAACTATTGTTTTAAACAGTTAGTAGACTTGTAAAAATATACCTCTATAGAATCAACATATTTAATAACGGTTAATTCTGTAGGTTTTTTATAAAATATTTTTACTAGTTATTATAGTCTGCTATTATATCTTTTCCTTAATTACTTATACAATCTCATGTACTCATTTCAAATTACAGTATTACTCTGCTTTAAAAAAAAAGGAGCAAAATCTATTAAAGTGCTTTTACCTAAATTTATACATAACTCTTCCAAAACTGACATTGTTATTAACTTAGACGTTGTATATACATTGTGGTAAATTTACCTGCTTGAAAGTAACATTATAAGGAAACACTGCTGGTGTGGTATCGGCTGCAGCTTCACCCACAGGTCCGTACATCAGCGACATAGACATAGGAAAGAAACACTGGCCCTCTGCCTTATTTATTGCCTTCCTATTTTTCCTTGGCTTCTTAATTTTCCTTCCAGATAGTACCTTCTTGTCGTCCTCCTTTTCCAGTTTATTTTCAGATGTACAGTCATCACATTTCTCTTCCTTACATTTGTCGCATTCAGATTTCTTATCCTCCGACTGATCTTCAGACTTTTTCTCATCATCACCTTTGGTCAGTGGCAAAGGGACAGGTATAAAGGAATTTAGATTTTTTCGCGCCCGTCCTGAAATAATTTTGTTTAAAAGTTTTAGTCACACTAGTTGAAAAGAAAACTACATACTTGGAGAGATATGATAATACAAATTTATTAAGTCTGTAAGTTAAGTGTGTAAATTAAGTACAATATTTCATCATGAGTTTTCAACTGGTCCCTAAAGAGGTAAATAGGTTTGTTAAGACTTAACCAATAGACCAAGGGGGTGAAATGGTGAACAAATGGTGGATTGATCATTGACATGATCAAAAGAAAATAATAAAATACCTACAAATTAACATCAAATTTTCGTAAAATTAAGAATCAGTCACTCTGTGGGATTCAAATAAGTTACAACATGTTGCAACCTTATTTTTTTTTGCTATGTATGCAATATTTACTCACAGTTATGAACCCGAATATATAATAAATGTAATAACTATAATATACTATACAAAGTATACATACCAATCAAAACAGGATCTATATCTATGCCAACAACAGACTTTGCACCGAGAGTCCTTGCAACAGCTATTGAAATATGTCCAACATTACATCCTATGTCCAGAACATCTTTATTTTGGAACAAATGCCGATGCATTTCAAATACTTGAAGACGGATATCCATCATTGCATTGAGATTACGATATCCATAATATCTGGAAATTAAAAGGAAATTTATCAAATACATATTCAATCAATAAATATATACTAATACAATGTGGTGACTTTATAAAAGTTTTATCTAAATATTGTAAAAATTCTACCAACATCACCAATATTAAAGTAACATATTTAATCAGTTAATTTTATTATTCGTAGAAAAACAATTATGTAAAAATAATAAAACACTTTTTTACCTATCATAATTTCCATACTGATAGCGAGAATTTTTAGCGTGGAAAGTTGGTAATTTCTGTTCTCCTTCCGAGAGGCTCTTTAATTTAGTCCTGTGGGGGGAAGCTGGCCTCTCCTGCGGTCCTGCTCTTTGTTGTGGTCTCGCCCTCATCCATGCCCCAGGCTGCGGTACAACAGGACTAACTATTTTATCCAATGACTCCATACGTCTCAATTTTTTAGCATCTTTTGCTTTCTGTGGATTATTGTCACTATCACTACATGAGCGTTTACGTGATTTGGAAGTAGATGGCTCGGGTGGTGGTGGCTCTTTGATTTGTTGCTCTTCTACTTCAACAGCTGCCTCAGGAGCTGGTGCAATAGTCTCTGTAGTCCTACGTCTAACCCTTTGCTTCTTTCTGGGTGTCTTCTTGCGCTGTTGCATTTCCAGTCTCTTCTCATACTCCTCATTGTCCAATGGTTCCATTAGATTTAAAGGATCTCTTATATTAGGTGGTATTATTACATCTATTTTTGCCTTGTGCCGTGGGGGTGTTGGCAACGGTGATGACTCAGGTGTTACCGCATTCATAGCTCTATTTACATCTTCATCTTGTAAACTATTTAGGTTCAAAGGATCTGATATGTTACCTCCTAACAAGAATTTTGTAGGTGGAATAAAAGCTTCCTTTCGGGGCCTCTTGTATGGTAGGAAAAACTTAGAAATAGATGGAAAAGTTTGTGCTCGTTTCTTGGTTTGCTTAAATTTTGTGCCAGGGTGATGTATTCTGCGAACTGCGCTCCTTTCCGGGTTTTCTTTCGAAACGCCTTTCTTGCCGTGCCGCGACTTTTTCTTTAACTTTTTCGAATTCCCAGCAACGAGAGATTCCTCTTCTTTAGACGAGTTTGCATCACTAAGCGTAACATTGTTCAACGTGTCTACTTGTGATGTATCACAATTTTCAACTACATTGTTCCCACCACTAGAAACCGTATCGTCTAAAACGTTACTAATGTCACTTTTGCTTTCGCTTAAATTTAAATCTTTTTCTGGGCTCCCCATCGCGCATTTAATAAGAAATAATGATCACATAATATTATAACAACAATGCACTGTAAATCAAATTTACCGCCACGATTCTTGCAAAATGTACAAGGACATCCGTCAATAGTGATAAACAGGTCTTATGTATTTGCCTATTTAATATGGAGATGTCGCAAAAATGATCACAACTATATTTATCACACCAAAGAAGCTTAGCTTTTACATGAATCTTTAATGCCCGCACAGCGAATAATAAAGGCTCCTCTTTAATTAAAGCACACTACAAAACACACACTTCCCACACATTGCCGTGTAGGAACTAGGAAATAGGCGAATGCGAAATAGCATAATACTTGACACTTCAGTAATAGAGTTGCCAGCCCCATATACCGTAACGTATATTATAACCTGTGAGATATAAAGGACCGGCCATAGATTATTAGTGATACTCTGTATCAGTAGCTTAGTTTGTCTATGGTCTTTAATTAAATTTTTATGTAATTTTAGCGTTTTGATTTAAATAATCTAATATCACTTATTTTAAGGTTTTATAAAGTGTTACTACAGACTTTAATAAAACTAGTAAACATAAATTATATTATAATTTTTATAACCATAGAGAAGCTTAGATGTTTGTATTATTTTTGATGTGTGACAATTGGCAACACAGTAAACGATATTATTCGAAATTTAAATTAATAACCGTTTTGTGTTTTGCTTGTTAAAACGAATGTTTGGATGTGAGTTTTGTGATTTATTTTGACAAAGGGTATTAAAGGTATGTTTTATGTGCAACAGTTGATTTCATAGAATCTTCGACCATCATGGCTTAAAAATTTACACACATTTTCCGATTCAGTAAACTTTAAAGTTTTACATTTGCAATGTTAATTTGTCTGTGTTCTTTTTAGATGTCGCGTATACCTAAAATAACACCGGCTAAAGAAAATAGACCGGGGCTTTCAAATACGAAAACCAATAATGTAAGGAGTACAAGAACTATTGGGAACAGTCTAAGTGATGCTGATAAAAAATGTCTTCTGCTCAACCATACGAAGCCTATTGTAAAACCTTCAACGAGTTCAACAGTGCCAGCTGCCAGGCTCAAGAGAGCTGCTACGGTGCCCAGTGCCATAAATTCTGCTCCCAAAGCGGCTAAAATAGAACGTAAACCAAGTGCTGGACCAAGAATTCCAGCTTATGACTACAAAGCGAGATTCAATGATTTACTAGAAAAGCACAAAGCTGTGAAGAACGAATTAACCGAATTAAAGGATAAACATTTAGAAGTTTCTGATGACTACGAAAAGTTTAAAGACATATCCGAGAGCAGTGTTCAAGAAAATAAAATCTTGAAAGAAAAACTTTTGAATGCTATGACTGAACTAAGACAGATAACTAGTGACTATGACAGCATTAAGCTTGACAAGGAACTCCAAAAGCGAGAAATTGAAGATCTTCACAATAAAACAAAAATATTAGAAGATGTTACACATAGTTTAAAGCTAAAGTCGACTGAGTTTGACAGACTAAAATTGGAATATGATGATTTAAACAGGCGTCACACAAGCTTGAAAGAAGAGACAGAAGCACTACGGGTTCTAACTGAACAACTTAAAAAAGTGTCAGCAGAACATCAGCAATTAAAGGAAGATCACAAAGTTGCTCTTGAGGCAATTACAAAAACTAAATGTGACTATGAAGCACTACAAAATATAATTGACACAATGTACAGAGATCAAAGAATTTTAAGAAATACTGTTCAGGATCTAAAAGGTAATATTAGGGTGTACTGTCGGGTTCGACCACCACTAGAGTCCGAAGCAAATAAGCCATTATACAATTTCAATGTTCTTGATGCTTGTTCCATTGAAATAGAGAAAATTGAGTTACTGAACTCAGCAAGAAAGGGCAAGTCTCAGCACACCTTCACGTTTGACGGAATTTTTACACCTCACTCTTCACAAGAGGATGTATTTGCAGAGGTATCCCCAATGGTACAGTCCGCATTAGACGGTTATAATGTATGCATCTTTGCATACGGTCAGACAGGCTCTGGTAAGACATACACAATGGAAGGTGGATGTGGTGTGGAACAATATGGAATTATACCAAGATCCATAAATATGATTTTCGAATGTATGCAAGACCTTAGACGAATGGGCTGGGAGTTGACGATTAGAGCATCCTTCTTAGAGATCTACAATGAAGTAATATATGATCTTCTTAACTCAAACAAGGAGCAGGAGAACCATGATATCAAAATGGTTAACTCAAAAGGGTCTGATTTATATGTTTCCAACTTGCGTGAGGAAGAAGTGAAGAGCTCTCATGACTTCATCAGGTTGCTAATTTTTGCGCAACGTAACAGACAAACGGCTGCCACATTAAATAATGAAAGGAGTTCACGATCCCATTCTGTGGCACAAATTAAAATTTCAGCTATTAATGAGAAGCGTAAGGAAAAGTTCACCAGCCACCTTAATCTGGTTGACCTTGCAGGTTCGGAAAGTGGAAAAACGACTCAGAGGATGGATGAAACAAAACATATAAATAGGTCCTTATCGGAATTGTCCAAAGTAATCCTATCCCTGCAGACAAATCAGTCTCACATTCCATACAGAAACTCTAAGCTGACACACCTTCTTATGCCGAGTTTGGGTGGAAACTCAAAGACCCTTATGTTGGTAAATATTAATCAATTTGATGTTAACTTCAATGAGACTCTTAACTCCTTGAGATTTGCCACCAATGTTAATAGCTGTCGGATGGTTAAAGCTAAGAAGAACCTTACTATGGTAGATTTTTAAACACTATTTTGTTTCTTCTACATTTTTGTATACCTGAAGTGATGATAATAATTTTGACTTATTACTGGACATAACATCTTATTGTGGACAGGATCCACGATAATAAACGAAAATAAAAATTTAAGGTAACCGACAGGAAAATTACTTCCCACCACAAAATAGACATTGTTATATAAGTCTATACATGCTTTAAGTATTAGAGTAATATAGAGTTAAATAAGATAATTAAAATAACTAATTATTTTTTACGTCTAAATATGGTTACTGCAAGATTATGATACTATTAATTGAGTAATTTGACTTATTTCTATAGACTATTTTACGTTTAAACTTTTTGTTGCTATAATTGTTCTCTCAATGTATTAATAAATGACATAAATGGTATCATGTTTCTTTTATATGGTAGAGAAGGACAGACAGGGGTTTACTTCATGGAAGGTGAAAGAACCCGGCCATAAAACAAGATAGACTATCTTCCTATTTCGGTTTTGGGTATTCAAATTTATTTCTTAATTACCTACGTAATGGTTAATGACTTAAGGATATTTAGAGAGAGGAAATATTATCTCTCCTATAATGCAAAAGTCAAGTAGCAATTCATTTTTACGAGTCCTTAAAACTAGTTGTAGGTTTATCGTAGAAATGATAGAATTAGCAGTACCTACCTATTGCTAATTAAAATAGCATTTTATCATTCAACGTTGTATTATAGCGCCCTCTATATTATATCATAGGAAGTATGTTTATTTTTCACACAATCGCCACGAGATGGAGTGACTTGTCTGTGATTTGTAAAATCCTTTATTTGAACCAACTTCTAAAAAACAGGTTTTTATCGATTATTTTATGTTTTTTTTTTTTTACGTATACATAAAGTCGTTTTATATAAAATGTAAGTCTTACTACACTTCGGAATTTGGTGAAAGAATTACTTTTAAGCTTCTTTATTCAACGCTTAAATAGTATCCAGTCCATGTTTTAAGTTTTCTGTAATTAACATATTCTCTGGGATTCGAACCCAATAATTGTTTCATGTACTGTTTAGTGTCTGCCTTTTTACTGTTGCAGCAATATATTTCAATATTTCGAATTTTTTTTTTTTGTTTGTAAATTGAATAAAACAAACAAATAAAAATCATTGATTTATAATTAATTAAATATTAGGACTAGATCATTAACGTGCGAATAACTTCCGCAATCAATAAACACAAGTATTCTGTACATCTCCGTGCCTCAGCTCGGTGGGCGAGGGAGTAGTGGGACGCGACGCGTCGAGCAGTAGGTGCGATGACCACAGGGCGATTCCAGGGTCCACTCGCCGCTCGCTCAACGTGACACGTCGGGCTCAACACACACTTCTGGCAATTTCGCCGTCTCTATGGTCTCTATTAACCTATCCAGTCCGTAGAGAAAGCCCTCTTCGTGATTCCCTTGCTCCCACGGCTTGCGATGCGTCACGCTGACACCTTCTGGAAGGCGGCGCGTCTTCGCGAAATCGATCAGCCAAGCCCCGACGCTTTCATCATCGTAAATTATGAATATACTGCTTCCGACTATCTCGTGGCTTCGGAAGAATTCAGAATTTTCAAAAAGTTCTCTTATATCACGAAGACGAGAGGCGATCGCGCGGCGGGCGCGTTCGTCGTGTCCAAAAAACCTAGCAACCGTGGCGGTGAGCTGTTGAGGTTCACGCACTTTCTGGAGATCAGTCAGCGGCGGCTGGCCGGGCAGCTTTACAGCTTCGATTCTATACCCTTGTTCAGCAGACGACGAGCACTGCTCTCTGAACTGCATGTATCGCAGTTTAGTAACAGCACGCGCTTCATGTTCGGCCTCAGTTGGTGCGTTTGGGTCGAGCCTAACCATTTTGTCATAGAGATCTACGCGAGCCCGAGCATTGCTTACTTCGTCTTCGAGGAACGTTCGGGTTCCCATTTTGATATCCATCACGTGAGGATCACGGAATCCGTGTAGGAGATCTTGGAGTTCAATGAAATGCTCTCCACCATATTCTAATTCCCTGTAGTAGCGAGGTATGGCAGAGCGCATATGGGGGCAGGAGGCCAAAGCTACGTAGGCGTCTCTCTCGGGGTTGTGAGAGGGGTGGTCGCCGGGCGAACGCCGTTTCCAGACAGTGCCAGGACCGGCTGGAGCCAAGGACCCTGGATGGCCGGATAACTGGAACCATTCCGACGAACGAGTCTTCAGCAAAGCGTCAGATGCCGGGGCAGACAGCTCAAGTGCATTCTGTAAAGAAAGAGAATGACATTAGTATGTTTAAAGAAAATACTTTTATTATAATAAATAATAATTTTTGAATGATCTTAATTTATAGATAAAATTTTCGCTGAACGTGGGAATGAGATATTAAAAAACTTACAATAGCTAAGAATTTCAAGAGGTCCGTTGGTTGCGATGTTGGTGACACTGGGGCAGAAACTGGGGAGGTTTCCGAGGGTGCGTGGCGTCTCCACCGCTTAAACAGAGCGCCGTCCTCTTTACCGCGCCAGCGCTCCTCATCTTTACCAGAAGCGACCTGCGGACAATAGGAAAGACACATTGAAACACCATATACTCATAACAAAAAACACTGAGTTGAGATTCACTTTGTCTTGTAGTGCGCACACAATGAAACGTACCGCAAATATTTTGTTAGCGGTGTAGAGTAGCCCGCCCGGACCGAGTCGGCTGAGCATGGAAGGGCGGGAGACACTGTTCATCTTGCTTGTGACAGTCATGGCGTACGTGTGGTGCGCGAATACAACGAGTAATGAGCTAATAGTACGCGAGAAGCAATCGACGTATGTGACTAGACGTCTAGTGCTAACTTGCGAATGAGCCAGTGGGAGAGGGACGATGCTTATATAGAGACCTCGGCTTTCGCGTGACGTATGCGCCCGCGCAGAGCCCGCGCCCGCGCCGCACGCACGCCGTTTCGTTTTCCCAGCGCATTAAGCTAACTACACACAACTTAGTGGCATAGAACACATCGACAGTTCGCTGGGGAAATGTTTATTTTTATATTTAAAAAAAACAACGACCAAGGTAAGCATTACCGTAACAAATATATAATTAATAGCTTTTATTAACGCTTTTAATAAATATATACTTCAATAATAAAAATAGATTTTTTATTTGATTAAAATTTATATTACATATAAAATTATGTATGTCTTGTTTTTCAAGTAGTATCCAACTCTTTATTTACATTCGTTGTCTGAAAAAATGCAATCTCTAATATTAATACTTTGCAAGTATGTACTAAGTTTAGTATAGTATTTTTCTCATAGAAATGAACCTTATAAAATTCACATACTGTACTATCTACAGTATGTGAATTTTACTACAACAAATTTTAATACAATTAAAAATAATTAATTATTTAGTAATTTGTAAGTCTTTACCTTTATTTATATTAGTAATATTTATTACGTTTTAGCATATATTACGTTTATTAGATTTATCCATTTCCTAGTGATACATCTTGTACACGCCCCAGTCTCTACTAAATATAAGGACGTTTTACTTAAACGTAACCAGGCCATGAAGCGATGACGTCCATGTTTTGTTCCCAAACAAAAGCTCTGTGACGCAAGGGGAATACGCAACGCGAATCCAAAAACATCATAACCCCTTCTGATACATGATGAGCATACAAATGTGATATTGTACACCTGCCTTTATACAAGTTATTACTTGTATTTATTAATACTTTTAACTTCTGCAAAGCATAAGAAACGACCGGCCGTAATTAAAATAAAAAATAAGTTCACCAATATATGTCACGTTTTAAACCGTTAAAAGTGTTAAATGTTTACTACTCGTGTAACTTACGGAAATTTTTTTTTTTTTACTATAAAGCGCCAATTATATTAGTTAATAAATCTTGTCTAATAGTTCGAATTTATCTGTTTAAAAACATAACAATTGCGCTACCAATAGTTAAAATATAAAAAATAATAATAATAAAGTCTAGATATTCTAAAGTTTTAACTGCACAAGTAACATCATCGAAATATACATTTAGATTTGAATTAAAATTATTAAAAGACCTTGTTTTATAATATATAACATACCCTTTACTACGTATAATTTTTTTTTAATTAAAGGAACATTTTTGCTACTTATATATTTTTCCAGTTATTAATAGGTTAGCAACTTAGAAATAAAGATAATTATATAAAACTTACGCTTAGCCTTAGTAAACTTATCTGTGAGTAGTGAAACTGGTCCTTAGAATAACTTCTTAACACGGATAATACCTACTACTATAGGTAGTTTGATTTCTATCCCGATGATCATGATGATCATTTGCTGGCCATTCCAATTTACCCTTTTAATGACGAATATTGGAGAATTTTCTCTAAAATCTACCTACAATAAGTTTATGTTGTTAGCGTCTCGTTATAAGAGTACACGTATAAAGTTATAGGAAATTTTAAATTGTAATTATATAAATTTCCCTGTTTTTGTGAATAATATAATGTGAATTTTGTTATCCTTTTACTGTAAAATGGGTCAGGGTCGAGTTACATTAGCTAGTGCATGCTCGGGAATTGTAGCTTTTAACGCGGAATATGTATTTTTTTTCAAACCTATTTTAATAATATTACTATCTACTTAATCCATGATGACACCTTACGCTAACAAGACCAAATTCCACTATTCACGTTACTAATGTTGGGTGAGATAACTCAAAAAAAAATAGTTAAGTAAACCGAAGGCAAAATTTCGGTTCCATGAAAAAATAACTAGTGTTCGCGTAGGTGGTACTAACAACGTAACAACAATAATTGTAATTCAAGCAAGATGATTTGAATTATGAGTTATTTATTAAGTATGACTTATAATGACATCCAAATTATAATGACGATGACACCGTAGCTCAATTGGTGGTGAAAAAGAAAGCAGCAGCATGGACCGCTGTCAGTTTCTTTTTCAATCTAAGTGGATTTTTAATGTATAGATGTCCATTCTACGAGTGGGCCAGGGCCTTTAAGTTTGAAACCTTTAAATCCGTCCCCAGTAAATGCATTATACGCAGACAATAATGCATTGAGCTGTATTTTCTGTCTGGAGGCCAAGACTGGGTAAGAATTGTGTATTACTTTGTTTTCTGTATTGTTTTATAGGTCAATAGGGCGTTCAATTTGAAGTTCTTGAAAAGTTCATTTAAAGATAAATAAAATAACTAGTTTTAGGTGTCCTAAGAAAAAAAAATTTTATTAACGTTTTAAATATACCTCTAACTGTATACAAAAGGAGATATTTTTTAGGAGAACTTTGGCCAACTGCCTGGAGACTCCTAAGCAGGAATCAATCCAGAATCTATACTGTTAAAAGTTCCTCAAGAACCTTTTTGTAGCAATTGGTGTGGCATTACCCGACGGGTCGTGGATTCCATCTCCACTGGTTTCGACATCTTTCTGAACCATGTTGGACTATTGGACGTGAACGAATACAAACCACCGCCCACAGATGAAAAAACCATAAAGTTTCCGTCTGTGGATTTCCGAATATCCAAAGCCAATCAAATGAACGCTATGCTTGCCTGTCCTCCTTTGTCATATAAATACCTCGAGTTTCAAAATTGAGCACCAAATCCATCACAGCCGGGTACTTTTCCAACGTTTGCACATTGATCGTGTCCGCTAGAATGTCTAAATCAAATATGTTTGACAGGCTAATTTGCTGCGTTCACTTTATCTACTCGCATACAACATTGTTAATGGGTAATAAACACCCGTTTGTATCAATATACTGACGTTACCGGCGTAGACTTGTAAATATGGTTATAAATATCTGACATGGAAGTAAAATATATCGTAACGTTAAATTGTATCTGCAGTTTACACGAGTACGATAAAACGGTTTTAAACGTGCACTATTTTAATTAACTAATGTATAGCTATGATTACAGAGATTGTAATTTCAACTGAGATACTCAAAAAAAATTGATTGATTTTTTTACGAACTTGAATAACAAAGCGTAATGTCTTTAGTTTACACGTTTAAATAAAACACTTTTAGCGAAACTTTGAGCCGTAAAGTAATTTGTAAGGTTCAGTCGGTCAGAGCACAGAAGTCTGATCAACTACTTGTCTGTTGAAGAACGGATCAGTAAAACGAACACAAAAATTTTGTTTGCCCCTTGCCCCAGGAGGGGGAAACGGGATTTCACTACTAAGAAGGCGGCAAACTTTTGAAACTCTCTTTAGCACACAATGAAAATTGATTAAAAATGATATGTTTCAGCGTGTTAAAATTAAATTGATTAAAACAGGTATAAAACCTCGAAACGGTTTCAACCTCTGGTTTTCGAAAAAAATTAACTTGATAAGATACGAATGATGAGAGCATCTTGTTAAGGGCTGGAGTATTTCACCATGAAGTGAACCGTATGCTTATCTTCTCTCATTGTATAGAATGTTTCCCTAACTGAACTAAACATTATCAAACTGTAATTATTCGAAAGAAATTAATAATTAAGCATTTAAAAACACATTACGTTGCAATACGATAATGCAATGACGTCAAACAATTAATGCTTACTATATTCTAGTTTCTTTTTAATGTAACCGAGCGAATTAATCCACAGATAACCGGTTTTAGCGTTATATATTCTAGAATAATTAAGAATTTTGAATAAATTTTTGATTTTTTTATAGAGGACAGAAAAAGACGGTTAATTTGAAAGATAAAATGCTTCATTAAAGTCTAGTGAAGAATTTCGTAAGATGTTGAAGGGCCAATTGCTCGATCTATTTTGGCGTTGGAAATCTAGAAATCCATTCACTTCATGAGAAGACGAAGTTTAATATATTTTTAAAAGGAAATATGAATCGATCGTAAAAAAAATGTTGGATCCAGTAGTAAGCGAACATCCGATATAATTCGTTCGCTAATAATTTTTATTAAGAAATTAAGTTTAAACTAAATAGTAACACAAAAATGTGTCAAAATTAACCCAATGACGTGAAGGTATGATATCAAACTGGGGTGTACAGGTGTTTTCAGCGAGCACAGCTGTTGAAAACAATTGAAAAGCAACGATTAACATGCATAATATTTTTGTTTAAACTCAGTATGATTCATGTTTTCGTTAAAGTTAATGAAAGAAACGTCATTTAAAATGTAAATTGCTGTAAGAATACCGATCATACTACAAATGAGACTACGTTTTTTTTCTAATTAATTTATAGTTTTTCTAAAACAACTTTTAAATAAAACACTTTAACGGTTTAAAACGCGATATATTAGTTAAACACGACGTGTCTCCCAATGACCACGGCTGCTGCAAAGCATCCGAAACGTCGGGCCGAAGTTAATAATCATTTTCAAATAAGTTTAACTAATATGTATATCGCGTTTTAAACCGTTAAAGTGTTTTATTTAAATGTGTACTACTCGCGTAAACTATAGACAGTATGTAAGAACTTTGCCTAGAAAGCTAGAGATTAAATGGGTGGTAGGAATATCGATATTGCATCCACCAGAGATTGAAAAGCGGTGAAGTTTCAACGCGTTTAGGTTTCA